GGGGGGGGGTGATTTACTTCTGGCAGGGAATTTTTTTCTGAGATCGTTATGTGCATGATTTTTTTTCCTATCCCATCACCATGTACGATATTTTTTTCCACTCTCTTTCGCAGCATTTTTTTTCAATAGCTTATACTATTTAGATTCTTTAATTATAGTTAACGTTGAGTTTTCTAGCTTTATGCACTTCTTTTAAAAATACATATTGCTATGAGGTACGACATGACTCAGGGCCTCTTTTAAGGATGTGCAACTGGAGGGGACATATTTAGCAGGGGACCTGGAGAAGTCCCAGTCGACAAGTCTGTATCACTGCAGCTACCTGCAGCATATATATACATGGTTTAACTAATAAGTATACATCATAGGGCAGCAGATCAGGCCATAACTAGGATTTTAACTAGGAGATAAGCAAGTTGACCACCAAAGGTGCAAGCCTCTAGAGGGGTCTGGGGGCATATCTTCCCCAGAAAATTTTGGATTTCTTGAAGCACAGATAAGCTATTTCCAGCGTTTTGATGAGTTTTCCAACAGGAAATTAACCTTGCACTAGCCCCTGAAAATCAAACCAGCTGATCTTCTGGGACTGGTAAAATCAATCCCTGCAACCATGCTGTTTTGCAACATTTTTTTCCCCACAAAATAATGAGGCAGGATATTTTTCCCCCCAGTTTGTTAGTACAGGTATTTTTTTGTTCAGAATAGCCTTGGAGGAATTTTTTTTTCCAAATCACACCCCCCCCCCAAAAGTTAAATGGTCAGCCCCTTAAGTTGTACTTTATGTGTAACATGAGTCACATAACATGAGTCACATGTATTATGTAGCAATCCTTACTGTTGTAATCCAAAATATAAAATTTCTTTGTGTTGGTAGTTTGCCCATAAACATATAGTCTGTTACTTGGTAGACATTGTATGTTTTCCTTCCTATGGTTCCCAAAGAAATTCAAAAGTAGTTACTGTAGGTTGGTACTGTTACTTCTTGTCACTTTGTCGTAACATGAGTCACACACCAATTTACGGCCACCAATCTTATCATGTTATAATCAAATGTTTAATTTTTACTGTGAATCAGTAGCATACCATTATTTGAACCTGCTTGCAAAATTGTGAGAGAAAAAATATGTTAGTTATTACACCAGATCAAAATTACTCTGATAATTTGGTTCAGAATGTAACATGAGTCACCATGGAATTACCCATCTGCAGATTTAGCACAAAAATACTTTGTTCTGCAGGAAACTTTTGTCTCCAGGTTGTGCTCCCAGGAAGAAAATTCTTTTTTCCTGCCCCGATTGTTCATCTCGTCACGAGAATAACGATATTGGGGAAGGCTTCGGATTTGACTTCCACTAACACTACTGCTACAGTACCTCCAACCTTGTACCCAAAGAAAGATCCTGGGTACAAGGTTGACGCATTTGATTGGTTAATCAGGTAGATTAAACGCATCTGATTGGTTAGTCAGGTAGATTAAACACATCTGATTGGTTAATCAGGTAGATTAAACACATCTGATTGGTTGATGGTAGCAGTAGTGGAAGTCGAAAGCTGAACCTTTCTGATATCGGGGAAGGGTTAATTTTTTTCAACTATCAATTACCTGCTGGTGGTGGCCCACATCTTTTCTGCTTTAACAGGTTTATCGCTTTCTTCGAACATATTTCTTTCGTAACTTTAATGACTTCTTTTCCTGGATCAAGCAGAAATAACCGGACAGAAAGTTTGCTTGGCTGCTGTCCTGACTTTCTTTTCTTTGATGGACAATTACTGGCCATTGCTGTGATGCACGTTAAATATTTAGTAACAGAATTATACCGGTTAGTTAAGCTACACCAAGACACCAAAATTAAATCAGTGATGGAATGGTTAGACTATGATCCACAAGCATCTGTGACACAGGCTATGCAATGGTTTAATTTCCCAAATTAGTATGTTCAACTAACTGACCACCTCTGCCTATTCAAAAGTACAAAAAAGTACAACATATTGAACATAACGTCACAGAATAGATACTAGACCAGAAGCACAGAGTAGAGACATAGAGAGCTGTAACTGACCGTTGTAAACATATACACTGCGAAAGCTTACGTTTTCATGTAGTACCCACTCTTTTTCAGGCAATCGGGCAAGAAATGATCATCTGCACGTGCTCAGCAAGTTTAAAGTGAGTCGTCATCAAGTTGTCATCCAATCAGATGCATGCATCTAGTAACTTGCCAAGCATGCGAACAAAAAAAGTGGGTACACTAGTTACAACTCTGTATGTGTCTCCTCTGTGCCAGAAGTGTCCCTTTGTGAAAATACGCCATCATATGACACCATTCTGGAGTGCACAAAGAAGTTTTCAATGGGTACAAACATATAGGTACAAAGTGCCGTGTGCACTCCAGGATGGCATCACAGTACGTAAAAAATTTTGGACGTTTTTCCCAAGCCAAAACACATCAGTGCCTTTTTTAAGGAATTTTCAC